AGGAGAATAATATGTTGTTTTGTATACACTAACTACACTGCGTATTTAATCGAATAACATTTATTTATACCGTAATATTACAACAGTGAATTGTTTTAAATGTATCCAATTAGTTTTATTGTTTTGACATTTTTGAATTTTAGATTTAATATCAAGTGTTTAAATACTTAAAAGTAAAGTAATTAATTTAATTGTTTTTCCTCTACTTAAAACTATCCACGTTCATCACTGCAGGTCGTACGGAAGTTGTCGAAGTAATTCACAAGAAGTTCCGGCAACGTCATCGATACCACATGGAAAAAAAAAAGGTCGTACTGAGTCCATATTTTACTGCTCTCACCCATCTCGCTGGTTATGATTAGGAAATGCATGAGTGAGAACATTTTGAATTTTTATTTTTTAAGCATTATTAGTAGTTCTCACTTCTCAATGAGAATGAAATTAATAATAATGCATCAATGATTTAAAAATATTTCATAATAATAAATATAAATAAAAATAGTTGGTGACGATGAGGATGCTCAAGGATACTATATTAAATTTTATATTTAGGGCTCGAAAGTTGTATGAGTTGTATATTACTCAATATTTTACTCTCAATTTATAGAACACTAAAGCTAAAAAAAAAGTGGGTGTCGCTCTGCTGTACGCCTGTACAGTAGGTTACAAGTGGGTCACTGTAATGGATGGTGTTAAATTTGAATTCAATGATAAAATATTGTGTAAGAAAAACGATTCTGAGTGAAAACGGTCAGTCAGCCTATGATATTACTAAGTATATTTGATGATGTTATTATGAATAAATTAATTTGTATATTTACCTATTTACGTGGAACCTTGTTATAAATGTTCAATCCTTAGATATAAAAGTTAAACATTTTATACATTTTTAATTACAAAATAATTATTAAATTTTAAATTTGATAAATTTTGTCAAAATTCAAACTTTAAATGCTTATAAAAAAAAATTGTGCCTGTGTATTTTTAATATTTTTCAACTGCTATTGTAACAATATACTAGGAGCCTTGCATGTTCACGCTTTTTTACCCAACAAATAAAATTTTATTGATATTTATAGAAAAAAAAAACTAAAATAATTGAAAACTGACAGTTCGTAAACAGCATAAACAGAGTCAAAATATTTTCAACATTTTATGGTGTATAAAAAATAAGAATTTTACATTCAGTAAAATATATCATTGTATAAGAAAAACGATTCTGAGCGGAGACGGTATGTCCTTCTAGGTATAAGACAGGTTATCTAGGTTATCTATGGTATTAATAAAAATTGACCTATAATGAATTCCAAATTAACCATATCACAATATCCATTAGGTACTTATAACGCGTTATACACCACCAACAAACCCTGATACTATCATAGATATATAGTAGTATACTTTAGAAGTTTCAAGTACCCACGAAAAATATTATACAATCACAACAAAATAACTAAAATAGTTATTCTAGGTTTTTTATTATGTAATTTCGTCCAAATTTGAATTTAAAATGTCTGTAAAAAATAACTGTGTTCATATATTTTTTAGATTTTTTGGTTACAGTATGAACTATTTATGAGAACCTTTGTTTTAAATTTACAATCCATATTAGCTATGAAAACTGAACATTTTATAATTTATTAATTACAATGATTGATAATTTTCGAGATTTTGATAAATGTTGTCAAAATTCGATCTTTAAATGCTTATAAAAAAAATTGTGCCTATGTATTTTTAAAATGTTTCAATTGCTATTGTAACAATCTATCAGGAGCCATGTATTAAATTTTTACACTTTTCGGCCCAACAGATAAAACTTAATTGATATTTATAGAAAAAAAAACTAAAAAAATTGAAAACTGAAAACGGCTCAAAAAAATTCAAAAATATTTTCAAAATTGTACAGTGTATAGAAAATGCTAATATGAACATTCAGTAAAATTTTCATGTATCAACAGTTATTCGTTTTTGAATTACAACAAAATAAGGAAATCGCTACATGAGAAATCGAGTGAATATCCAATGTTATAAAAATTTGAATTTCAAACGCTCATAAAAATTTAATTTGACTTTCTTATAGACATTTTTGTTTTGATAAAGGTAGATAATATTATAAGGAATCTTGTATTACATTTTCAAATCTTAGATTTAAAAAGAAAAATTTTTACTAATTCTTAACTCAAAATAATTTGCTAATTTTCGTGATTTTTCCATAGTTTGTCAATTTTCGAACTTTAAATTCATATAAAAAAAAATTGTGACTAAGGATTTTTAATATTTTTCATCTGCCTTTGAAACAATGTACTAGGAGCCTTCTATTAAATTTTCAAGCTTTCGCAACCAACAAATAAAATTTTATTGATATTTTTAGAAAAAAAACTAAAAACAAATGGAAAATGAAAATGTCCCTAAACAGTTCAAAATAAATCAAAATATTTTGAAAATGTTATAGTGTATAGAAACAACCAGTGAAAATTTCAAAAGTTACACCAAAAAACAAAATCGATTTTTTGGAAAACCGATTTTGCGTAAAAATTCCCGTTTTTCCTTAATTTTTATGTTTTTTTTCCCGGCGCTTGTGAAAACTACTAGGAAATTTTGACCCCCCAAAGTACCAACTAGATTTACTTTCCTATCAGAAAAGCTACTGTTGAAAAAAATTCAAGCACTTTTACTGTCCTAAAACGTGATGACAGAAACAAAAAAAAATAAAAAAAAAAAAAACACACATCATTGTAAAATCAATACATTCATCGTTTCACTCGGAATCTAAAACTGTGGCTAAGGATTTTTAATCTTTTTCAAATGTCATTGTAACAATATAGTAGGAGCCTTGTATTACATTTTCAAGCTTTTTTACCCAACAAATAAAGTTTTATTGACATTCATTGAAAAAAATACTAATACAATTGAAAACTGAAAATGTTCCTAAACAGTTCAAAACAAATCAAAATATATTGAAAATGTTATCGTGTATAGAAAATGCAAATATAAACAACCAATGAAATTGTCATGTATACGTATATTTAATATTGTGTATTTCATTTACACCAAACACCAAAATCGATTTTGTGGAAAACCGATTTTGCGTAAAAATTCCCGTTTTTCCTTAATTTTATGTTGTTTTTCCCGGCGCTTTTGAAAAGTATAGGGAATTTTAAAATTTGACCTCCCGAATGCACCAACAATATTCACTTTCCCATCGAACAAGATACTGAAGTTGAAAACCGAAGTATTATTTCGACTACTTATCCGTGTACACAAACAAAAAAATTTAAAAAAAAAACACATTGTTAAATCAATACAAATCTAAAAATCTTCCAAGCTAAACAATGGTCAGTTCAAAAATTAAAAATTCATATTTCGTCAATTTTAGGGGAATAGTGCATATTTCTTGATCTTCATACGCATTTTAATATATTTTTCATATTTAATATTTTCTAAAAAATAAATTGATCTTTTTACTTCTGAAGTATAAAACTTCTATCTTGAGGTGTGGGTGGAAAAAAATCCTAACAAAAAAAAAATGACAGGAAAAATGAAACGACACGTTTGTTTATTTACTTATATAATATGTCCATACCTAGCAACCATTCATAAACAAAAATGTCTATCCTATCGTAAATTACATATTTTTTATTGTATTGATTTTTCTCACTAGCTCCCTATAATTCACTATTCACTTATAATTTAACGGGCCCAAATACTTATGAAATAAGTTTTACTTCCCCAGAGTGTAATGGTAGGCTCACACACTCTCTCACTTTTTTTTAGTCTGTGTATTTTAATAATTGTTTTGAATATATAACTCCATGTAGGTAGGTATTTATTGTTATCAGCGCAATGGACTATTCATAAAATGATCGTTTTTGAATAAGTGTGGTGTGGAAATTTGCACACAACTATCTGTTGAATAAAGAAATTACGATGTATAATGTTATACCTACCACCTACGACCTACGTTTGCTTAAATGTCTTATCTTCGACGCACTCTTTAAAAAGACGTAATACTGGTATTTGTTATCGCCGTCTTACCAGTGGGTAACACAGCAAATTTACGCTCAGCAGAATATCACTTGTAGCGTCGTTAGTTTAAACATTAGAGTAAATTGACCTATTATGAAACTTGATGGTAATAACATTGCTTGTGTTTGTACGTCGGTTTTTTACGATACTTCAGTTTTTAAGTGAATTATGATCATTTTTAATTTAGGTACCCATATCATATAGGTTAACTTGCTGAAAAATTTAACCATCGTATAAACCAACATACAAACACAGATAATATTCTTACCATCAAGTTTCATAATAGGTCAATTCGCTCTAATGTTTAAACTAACGACGCTACAAGTGATATTCTGCTGAGCGTAAATTTGCTGTGTTATCCACTGGTAAGACGGAGACAACAAATACCAGTGTTACACGACGTTTAAAATCTGTATTTAGGTTAGTTATATCAATAAGTAGTCATTAATTTAATGATAATATAATATACAATTATATGGGTCCATATAGAAATAATAAAATAAAAATATCATTAAGTTTCAGAGTTATTATATTTTATACCCTACTATAAGGGCATAGGCGTGTCCAGACCTTTGACACAGAGGGTGAAACACAGTGAGTACCCAAGGGGCTAAGGGGCTTTTGCCCCCTTTTTTTTTTTAACAATTTTTGTTATTCTCAAATTCATCATTATTATATAAAAAATGTTGTCCACTATTCCAGATAACGGATGTCAGTAGGTAAACAATTAAAATAAAATCATACCTACGCCGAACATATCCATAGATAATAAATAATTATTTACACATATTTTATTACTTGTCCTAAAGTACCAAGATTAAAAAGTTCTAAAATGTTATAACCTTATAAGTAGGTAAAAAAAAAAAAAAAAGGTATATATAAGACATTTATGTTTTATTTATTTACACATCATATAGTATTGTTTTAATAGATTTTACGCTTTAATTAATAATATTATTATAGAAAACGTTGTTTTAAAGGAATACATTTTTGAGCACAAATAATGACGCCAAGAACAAAGGCTGTAACCCAACATTATTGCTCGCTCCTACACTACTGGACGTGTACATCTCGAAAAAAATCTTAGACATTTCATCAGGTAAGTCGAGGTACACACGATTCGCTCCAACGGTATTTATCAACTGTACCAGGTTTGGATAGTTGATGATATCTTTTGAGTCACTACACCAGACAGTTAGAGTTGAGCCCACTGGCGATGTCTCCAACAAATATTGAAGTTCCGATATCGAATTGACTGCAAATGACGCTCGTACAGCGTAAGTCACAGGGTTCATGTATTTGTTTTTAAACAGTACGTCTACCATAGCATTTATGTAATGCTCTGAATACTTGTCTGAAAAGTAGGAACATCATTTGAGTTTATAATTATTAATTTATGGGCTAGACGTAGCAAGCATATTTTTATCACCGAACATGATTATATATATATTTCGTATGACAACCGAACATGATTAGATCACAGATTAAATTTAACATATTTTATTAAACATTCACATTAAGTCAGCGGTTATATGTAATATTAACATGTATAATATGAACGATTGTGTTACCTACCGTTATCGTTGCGTTTAGTAGTCCAGCCTAACGATAAAATTGAATCTGGAAAACTTTTTGACGATACTTTGAGGAAGGTGTCTGCGTCTACTCCAGGACTGTCTCCTGGACCGGGACCAGGTAAAATATCTGCATTCAACCAAGGTAGGCGATTTTGAGGTGAATCCTAGTGAAAATATAGTACCTATTAGTTAGGTACCTACTACCTATAATGGCTATAAACTAGTTAGTATTTAGTATTAATTTATAAATTATCATTATTAATTTATTTATTATAGTACGTATTATAATATGTACCTAGTTATTGTATAAATATTTAATAAAATAAAAACACAATTATATCGATATAATAAAAAAATACAGCGTCATCTACTACTTTATTATAATAAAAGTATAGGACGATATACACCATTAACATTTTGAAACATTGAGCTATTGATTGATCATTTTAAATTAATTTTTAGAATTATAATATAGACTTGTAAAGTTATAAGTTGTTTTAAATTATGCAGTACGCCAATTATTGATATTATGATCGACGAATAAATCAAAATAAAACATATAAACAATAAACAATATTGTTCTCGAGGTGCCACGATCACATTAAAAATACCTACTTTAAAAGCGTTCTCAATGACAGGCGTTGCTAGTTTAAATGCTTCAGTTGATTTAAAATCGAGTTTTAGGATTTTATTTGAATTTTTCCATGCATCTAAGAATTCTTTAAGACTCAAGTCTGAAGTTATTGAGGGAGGATGACCCATTATTGGTATCCGGTCAGCTTTCTCTCCCTCTATTTCATCAACCAAATGACCAGTAATTACATCAGCTTCTATCATTTTGGATTCACCTGTAGACAATATTTCACGTTTATTAATCATTACATAGGTGTTATATATAAGTATAGGTAGTAATCATTTTTGCGTCCAACTATGGATGAGTTGAATACGTTGGAGTTTTGTTTTGTATTGATTTGTATTAGAGTTATACCAAAAACCAAAATCGATATTCTCAAAAACATATTTTGCGTAAAAATTCCCGTTTTTCCTTAATTTTTTTTTTGTTTTTCACGGCGCTTTTGAAAACTACTGAGAAATTTTTACTTTGGACCCCCAAAGTACCAACTAGATTCACTTTCCTATCAGAAAAGATGCTATTGAAGAACATCCAAACACTTTTACTGTCCTAAAAGGTGATGACAGACACAAAAAAAAAAAAATGAAAAAAACACACATCATTGTAAAATCAATACATTCATCGTTCCACTCAGAATCTAAAATACATTTATATATTAGGTAGGTATAAACTGATATTTACAATATTATTCAGTTGTTTTAACAAATATTGAAAACTAGGTAGGTCGTGGTTACCATTTGAATGTGAAATTCAAAATTTAGGCGTAGGTACCTAATAATTATATTGGTGTCATCACGTCATTCATAACGTATCATACTATTCATTACATTATATTATTGTAAATATTATATACAGGGTGATTCACGAAGCATATACTCATTAGTCATTATATATGCCCATAGGTTTTCCTGTAATAATGAATGTAACCAAATTCTAATTTTTGGAATTTTTAAGTATACTCTTAAGAACTATATTTTTAAATAGGTACCTTCTTATATGTTGTATGCAGTTTTAGGAGTTTCCAGTTTCAAAAATCTGAGTATAATTTTTTTTTTTAACTAGAACTGTGTCCTACAATGAACTGTTAAGCAGATTATTATTTTGTATTTAAATGTTGATGCAAATATGTAATTATTAAATGTGTCAACTTTTTGAATTACCTACTTATAATTATAATTTAAGATATTTAAAGAACTAAATAGGTATTTCAATAAAATGTTTATAGTAATAATATGAATTTAATGATGGATGAATAGTAACAAATTTTTCGTTTTAAATTTAAATTTAATTATTTTATGTAGAAGCGAATGAGTGTTGATGTGTAATTTAAAACTTATAATATCACTTATATTATATTCAGGTAGGTAGGTAGGTATGTATGTACAGGCTACAGTTAGGAGGTGGGGGAGAAATAGTTATTTGTATGTATCTTTGGTACTTTTACATTGACTTAAAATTTTGAGAAGTTTAACTAAAAAATATACAAATTTAAGTTAGGCACCTGATATTCATTAATCATTATCAATACAAACTAAAAGTTGTCTGGTCAGCGGTCACTGCATCTTATAGTTATGGTACCTATTGCAAATATTGTAATAATCACATTCGAAAAATGTATACCTAGTGTTTAGTCTTTAATGTTTATATAACAGAATAACATTCATTGCTCAAGTAGTATAATATTGTACCATTTTTAAGCTACTTGTGTTATATTCTCCTAAAAATATATTTCTGATTAATTTAAATTAAAATAATTTTAATACATTTTCAAAATATTTTTAAGATAAGACTGACACAAGTGGTCCAAAAATGGCACAATTGTTTTACTAGCTTATATAATGTGTGGAGGAATATATAATATAGAATTGTTGGTACTTATATGGTTATCGATAATCACTAGTATACTAGTATATATCTTCGATTTTCTGGAAAATTCGATATTTTGTTATTTCGATTACTACAGCGTTAATAATGCGTTATTTTATTTTACGACAATATCTTAATCTGAAAGTAAAAATACATAATATAAATATTAAATATAGGTCTGACCAACCAAACATTGCGCAAAGAATATAGACGCGATGGACGGTGGCCTATATACAAACGAATTCCAAATAAGCATACCAATGGCAATAGGTACCTATTTACATTTTTTTTTATAGGATTTCATAATTTGGATTACCTGCGTTTTCAAAATATCTGTTTCCTAAGTATATTTTATTTGAGACCAACCTACCTATTAGCCTCTTGGCTCTTAGATCAATTCCATAGTCAATAGGTATTAAGTACCTACACGCAATGGGAATAAGTCACGATAGTGTTGTTCCATTTTATGATGAATCTAAGATTTGTAAGATGAAAATTAAAGTCGAAAAAAAAGTCATAAATATAGTTGATGGTCGCAATTACAGATAAGTATCAGGTTTTTAGGTTTTTGATATTTAGGCGTAAAATATTTATTGGCGAAAATACCACTCTGTATGCTTACATTCGTCACTATGTGTTGTGTTGTACACATATTGTATTGTTATGTTATTACAATCGATAGCACATACGTTTTGTATACTCAGATGCGGAAGCTCGCACGTTTGAAAAACAAACAATGAGACCCACTAACCCCGCTATAGGTATCGACGTATCGTATACAGGGAGTTTAGTAGTTTACTTGGTTTTTTGTATTCAAACTTTGATAATAATCTCATAATAATTATCTCAGTGAGTGGAATCGACAACCATTTTGCTGTTTGGTTTTGCGAATCTTGGATTTTTAACGGTACTAACCACCTCTTTAAATTTTAATGTTTAAATTCCGTAAACATATAGGTACTTATTCCAATACTAAACACACGCACTGCCCACAAGAATGTTGTCGTCACCCGAAACCCATCCCTATAATACGTCAATAAGTATAGTTTTATATACCTACCGGAAGTGCAATATTTTTTGGGCCCAAATGAGTTTAATGATGGGGGGGAGGGGGACTAAAATCTCCCTGCACAAAATTAACCAACTAATAACACGAACAAATGATTATTAATATTTGATTATTGGGGACAAATTCCCCAAGCCACCTTCTCTTGCACCAATCTCAAAAACAGCGCGGTCGGTACCTGTGCTTAGTACTCACCCCCGAAAAATCGTGACTTAACGAGATCGTACTCAAAGTCTGTGCGGAATACCCGGAAACACACTGTATACATATTACTATAATTATGGTGTTGTTGTAAAGCACTGCTGTACGCGGGACCCGGGTGGGTGTGCAAACACGACTGTGATAAAATATTAGAACATGTAACGTTATACCGACGATCGATATAGCAAATGACGCGACTACCGAAAATAGTGAAATCAGTGCAGCAACACATGCAGCGGCGTTCGGCATCGTTTATTTCGTCGGTGTACAAAAGTCGACTGGGCTTTCGCCGGAAAAAAAAGTAACAGCGGTTACAGTCTGTACAGAATAATAGTAACAATACGACACCTGACCAAACGTAACCTCAACGATGACGACACCGGTCCGACTGCCGTTGATACTATTGGCGCTGCAGCAGTACGCCCGCACAGTGTCTGCGGTCTCTGGGTCGGTGGACGAGTTCCAGTGCGCGTGCGGTTACAACGCGGCCGGCCACGTGCGGGTGGTGCGCGACACGCTGGCCGGCGGCGGTGACACGGAGGCAGCGGTGGCGGTCGACCTCGCCGCCGGTTACGGGCCGCTGGTGTCGCGGATACTGTTCGTGGTCAGCAGCCGCCCGGAACCGACGGCCCGGTGGCTGTGGCTGTTCGATTTGTACGCCAACGGGGCCAGCCAGCAACTGACGGCGGCCACCGACCGGCGGCGGCGCGGCGCCAGGTGGTTGGCCCGGGCCGTGAACTACGTCGGCCGCGAACTGGACCGGTATCTGGCCATCTGCGGGGCGCGGGGCGTGGGCGGTGGCGGGCCGCCGTGGCGCGATCAGGCGTCGTTCGAGAAGTACGTGCTGGAGAACGTGACGGCCATCGTACAGCGGTCCACGGACGGTGCCGCGCGCGTGGAGGACTTCGCGCCCCGTTGGTTGTACCTCAACCACGTGGCGGCCGACGACGATGCGCTGCGGGCCCGTGGCGTGATGCCTCCCGGCGCGGGAGTCGACTGGCGGTCGTCCGCCGACCGGCTGTCGTCCGTGTACCGCGCGGCCGTCCACAAATGGGTGTTCGGCACCCGGGAACTGGTCGTGTACCAGAAGAAGTTCATCGCCGCCGTGGTCGTCACCCTGATGGGCCACGTGCTCGCGCACGTCGAACACTGTCGCACCCACCGGCTATTGGCCGCGGCCCACCCGGATGAAACCGTAGTGGCCCACTCGGACGTCTCCGTTGCTGCCGCAGCCACCACTGACGACAACGAGGACTACAATTTGAACGGTGGTGTTGGGGGCCCGGTGGGAGATTACGAGCTCACATGGATGTCGGTTGGGGCGCTGCTGGAAAAGTACAAGTCGTACTTGGCGCTGGGCCCGGAGAAGTATTACCGGACGCTGGTCGAGGTGGCCGCCAACCCGGCGCGCGACGATCGCGGTTTCCGGTTAGCGAGACGCGCCATCGAGACGCACATGGCCGACTTGGGCGCGGGCCTTTTCGGTCCAGCGGCCACCAACTGGACGGCCGTAGTGGACGAGACAGCCGTAAAAAAGCCACAAACGCTCATCGAGCTGATCGCGCTGGTCGACAACAACATTAGCACCGCTGAGAGGTATCTGAAGAATGTCCAAGATCTGTTGTCCAACGTCGATTTCAAAATAGTCGGCAAATTTATGAGGAGTACGCACATTTGGCTGTCATGATCCGCGGTTGTAATCATATTATATTATACAACACTAATATTATAAACATTAATAAAACTGCAGAGTAATGTTATTTGTTGTTTCAAATTTACATACTATTCGTCGATAAATTTATATATCAAAACGAAATTATTTGAATTTTAATTCAGGCCGATTGCAGAGATTATACTATTTTATCTACAGCAGTTATCAAACCTCAAAGTTTTGTTCAACCTTACAAAAAATATATGTCTATACATTTTATATATTACCACTTATTTATTTTTTCAAGATTTCAAGACAACTTTTTTTTGAACATATTTTTGTGGTGACAAATTCCTATGAAAAAAGAAATACTCTCTACCAATTTTTATCCAAATAATAAAACTTTTTTTCACTTCAATAGTAGGTATACCGTATACATTGTATACATTGATATAGATTAAAAATTATAATCTACCTATAATATGATGTTTAATTTATAATTGTCAGTGTTGTTCTTACGAAAGACGTATTAAAAATGCGATGAATGTATTAATCTAAAACAAATATTATGTATATGTATGTCTACGTTTCTACTGCATATTATAATAGAATACACCTAACTTATAATTAAATTTTTTTTTGTGGCATATTTGAACTTTTTTTAGTTCTTAAGTTCCAAAATCTGATTATATAATATATGATTAATTATACTGGTAGATCCAGGTAGTTTATATTTAATATTTAAATAAATAATAATATATCTCGATGTAATCATTGGGTGGTATCACAGGATACATGATACCAACTTGCCAAACAATAACCCACTACCAGATATAAACTCATTACAACTTCTTATATTATTTTATTACTTTGTATAGAAGATTGTTGTTTAAAAATGAAAATATTTATTTTTGCTTTATTTGAAGTATAAAACATATATTATGTATCTACAATATTTGTAGGTATATGGAATAGTTGAAGGATTACTGCGGGACATTCATAACCCACGTGGGATAACAAACCACTTGTTAGTGATGCCAGGATTGTGATTTAAATCTGTTTTTAGTGTGTGTACCTACCCAGCCACCAAGGGACGATATTAAAAATATTCATATAAGACAGTTCGTCGGTAAAATCTTTAAAATTGTCTATTACATTTTGAAATGTCAAAAATTTACCGACGTATGACTGTAAGTCTAATATTGCTGCTAAGTTGGGGTATCATATCCACCGAAACCCCCTTTCGGATCATCATGGTATGTTCTTTTTAACTTTTATTATTATTATTTAAGAGACTTTAGATGAATTGTGTTAAAAGAGAGATTAGGGGTTAGTTATAGTGACGTAAGTTCCCCAAAGAAGCTTTGTCAAGTCCAAATTAAGGGGGGGGGTACAGGAGGGGCATTGACAATGTAATAGATAATTGTGTTTCACATCAGAACATAATAAATAATATAATTTTAGACCAGTGTGAGAAAGTAATATTTTAAGAAGAAGAAATTGAAAATTCTCAGTAATAATAATCGGGTAAAAAAGTTAAGGGAAAATTGGAATTTTTACGCATTACAAATTTTTGACAAAATCGATATTATTTTTTTGGTATAGGTAACTTAAAAACAAATAACCATAGATACCTATATTTGAAAATATTACTACATTTTTTTAATGTGCTTTTTGAGATATTTTAGAGTTTAAGACGTATAAAATATGTATTATGACATTTTTGATTTTAAGTAGTTTTTTCAACTTTATATGTCGATATTTTCAATTGATCAAAAAGTTGGAAAATTAAATACAAAGTTGCTTATAAGTTTTTCATATTATAAAATTTAAAGAATATCGAAATTACAGTCATAATATTTTTTTATATGTTATAATTTTAACAAAAGTCATAAAAGTTACGACAATTTGCACATTAATTTATTGTGTTGAAAATGCATAAACATTTTTCGTTTTATACCTATCTAAGATTTAATAATTTAATATGAGGTTTCTCTTAGATTTTTTACCTATACCAAAAAAGTTTACCGGAAAATCACATTAATTTTTTATAAGTGTAACTTGTAAGTTCATATTTTTTCGACATTGGTTATTTACCTTTAAATTAACAACTATTTCTTCTCATTTATGATATTTCATTGTAATTCTTTATCTCTATCAGGTACTTGACTTTTTTTACCAAATGGTTATATTATTAGCACCTAACAGTACATGTTAAAATTTAAAAATTATTTTCTCAATTTTTGATATTATAACAATTTATAAACATTAAAGATATAGGCACGTTTTTTTTTAGATTCTGAGTGAAACGATGAATGTATTGATTTTACAATGATGTATGTTTTTTTTTTTTTATTTTAATTTTTTTAATTTTTAATTTCTGTGTTTGTGTACACGATAAGTAGTCAAAATAATGCTTCGATTTTCAACTTCAGCGTATTTTGTTCGATTGGAAAGTGAATATCGTTGGTGCATTGGGAGGTCAAAATTTAATATTCCCAGTAATTTTCAAAAGCGCCAAGAAAAACAAAAGAAAAATTAAGGAAAAACGGGAATTTTTAAGTAAAATCGATTTTTCACAAAATTGAATTTGGTTTTGGTTGTAATTCAAAAACGAATAACTGTAGGCACATGAAAATTTCACTGAATGTTTATATTAGCATTTCCTATACACCATACACTTTTGAAAATATTTTGACTATTTTTGAGCTGTTTACGGACATTGTCAGTTTTCAATTTTTTTTTCCTTTGAATATCAATTAAGCTTTATTTGTTCAGTCGAAAAGTGTAAAAATTTAATACAAAGCTCCTGATATATTGTTACAATATCAGTTCAAAAATATTAAACATACATAGGCACAATTTTTTTTTATAAGCAATTAAAGATCGAGTTTTGACAAAATTTATCAAATTTAAAATTGAATAATTATTTTATGGTTAAAATTTATAAAATGTTCAACTTTTATATCTAAGGATTAAAAGTTTATAATAAAATTTCACGTAAGTAGTTAATTCTGTTACCAAAAAATCTAAAAAATACATAAGCAGAGTTTATTTTTATAGTCATTTTAAGTTCAAATTTTTACGAAATTACATAATAAAAACCTAGAATAACTTAGTTATTTCGTTGTGATTCTATATAATATTATTCGTGGGTACTTGAAACTTCTAAAGTACACTATTATATATCTATGATAGTATCAAGGTTTGTTATTGATGTATAACGCGTTATAAGGACCGAATGGATATTGTGATATGATTAATTTTTTTTAATACCATAGATAAGTATATAATATGTCTTATACCTAGACTGACATACCGTCTCCTCTCAGAATCGTTTTTCTTATACAATGATATTGTATCACTGAATTCAAATTTAATACCATCCATTATACAATGACCCACTTGTAACTTACTGTACAAAAGAGCACCTTTTTTTTTTAATGAATTTAATGGACATAAATCGATGAAAGGGGTTGCGGGGCTTCAATATATTTGATCAACGCCTATGAATATCGCATTGTTAATAGTTACGTAATAAACTGTGTATGATTATTAAGAGGACGCCACACCTACATGTGTCGTCTCCTTCTTTATAGATTAGAGTGAATCGACCTATTATAAAACTTGATGGTAAGAACATTATCTGTGTTTTATTGGAAGTCTTTTACGATAATTCAGTTTTTAAGTGAGTTATGATCATTTTTAATTTACATTTATTATACACTCATAGCTCACTTAAAACTGAATTATCGTAAAAAAAACTTCCAACAAAACACAGATTATGTTCTCACCATCAAGTTTCGTATAATAGGTGGATTCACACTAATTTTTAAGATAACGGCATAAAGAGTGAATTTTTGAGAGTAAATTTGGTATGTTACGAATTTGTATTTGTACTATTTAGGTAGTTACTCCATTCATCTTGCAGATATATTATTGAATTACATCAAAGTATCAAATTCATTTGATTTGCAGTATTTTTATTTTTAAATATTTTTACCTTTTAACATATGTTTCGAGTTAATTTAAATGTCGTTATTGCTAAACACAAGTTATAGGTAATACCGCCAATATTGATTAATCTTTTTATTTTACATATATATTGTTTTTAGACACTTAAATGTATCAACACTTTTATAAAATAACTATAATTACTACAATATTTATACTTAAAAACAATTTGAATTTGAAAACTTACATGTTGTTTTAATTGTTATTCAAATGATTAACTGATAAGCAGATAATATATTAATGGTAACTTTTATTGGTAGGTTGTAGGTACCTATGTCTAAAACTCAATTTATTAGAATTAGACTTCGTGAAACCTATGTCCTATAATTATTAAAAAATATACAGTACATAAGAAAAGTAGTACCTATTAAATTTAATTAATAATAATATATTTATATTCGGGTAGGTAGTTAAAATGTTAAATTATCATGCAAACCTATCAAACCACACAATTCGTTTTAAACCTATGTGTTTTATTAACTTGTCATCATATAGTTTTATACATTTATCTGTTGTACGATTATGTTATTTTTTGGTGGCTTTTGATAACTGAATGCTCAGGCCACAGGTATTGTTCATTTTCCAACGTATTAAGGTAAACTTACTATATAAGAGTACTAATATTATACAGTGTCTCAAGTATTCAACTTCCTATAACGATGATGGATGATGGTTGATTTAAGGTGCAGTATTTAAAAATATATCCGGCCTAAAACGTACTTACTCGTCAAGGCGCTCTGTAGCTTGGCCTTGGAATTGACCTCATGATCCCAGGTGGCCGTTATCAAACTAGTTTCTGCAAAAAAAAATTTATAACGATCTTACAACAATCGTACAAGACTTGTTTTCTGAGGTCTTTACTCCCATCTTTCTTATACACAGTACATAGTCATAAACTCATAAATCATAACTTATGTTTTTTATATCTATTATATGCACACGTGTACTTACGGTCAATGTACTTACGGTCTGTTTGTATGTTGAACACTTGCATCATCACTCCCAAGATAAAATCAAGGCAC